GTTAAGCACGAGCGTGGCCGCCGACAGGAAGATGCCAACGCTCTTGATGTAGTGCTTGTAGACGGCAAACTCAACGCCCCCAGTCTGTGATTTTTCCGTTTCGATGAGCTTGCCCTCGACCTCCTGCTTCTTTTTGAGCGAAGCGGCCGAGGCAACGGAATCGTGTGAGTTCTGACGCCTGGTGCGACGTCGCAGGCTGCCGCCGATGCCGGTGCCCATCAGACTGTCGGCAGAGGTAACCGAACTGGAGATAAACAAAGAAATTATGATTATAAATATGCTATGGTTTAGGTGTGTCTATTGTACTCACATTGAATCTGATAAGCTTTCAGTGCGTGCCAGCTTAATGGCCTTTTCGACACTTCCAAGCAATTCAGGGACATCACCGGTGCTAGAGATTTGGCGTTTGATCTGATTGAGCTCTTCCTCCTCGGCATTGCCATCTTGCAAATGCTGGATAATAAAGTCGGCAAAGGCGCCCTTGTTCTTCACTAGCTGATCGAATGTGCCACTCTCACTGATCTCGCCCATTTTCAGCACATAAATGCTGTCCACCTGGGGCAGGAAGGTGACACCGTGCGTGACCAAAACGCGTGATTTGCGTGCCAAGAGTCCCTTCGGTCCGATCACTTCATCGAAGATGTGTTTGCCTACATGCGAGTCGACGGCGCTCAAGGGATCGTCCAGCAGATAGAGATCTGCGTCACAGTAAACAGCTCTGGCCAGGGAGATGCGCTGCTTTTGGCCACCTGAGAGATTAATGCCCTTCTCACCGATTTCCGTAAGATCTCCGGCCGACAAAATGTCAATGTCGGCACGCAGGGCGCAGGCATCGATCACCTTGTTGTAGCGCTTCCGGTCGTACGTCTGCCCAAAGAGGATGTTGTCACGGACCGTCGCATTCTGAATCCACGCCTGCTGTGGCACATAAGCCATCTTGCCCACCGTGTTGACAACGCCCGCAAGCTTCTCCATCTCACCGAGGAAAGCCTGCACCACCGAGGACTTACCGGAGCCGACGGTGCCCACCAGGGCCACCAGATTGCTCTTACGCACCTCAATGTTGATGTTTCTTAGCGTAATTTCATCGCCCCACGAAAACTCGCCATTCTCAATGCTCATGGGATGGGCTGCCATTAAAAAAAAGCAAAAATTAGACATAATCTTTATAATTGTTTCTGTAACTTACGTTTGGATGAATCATGGAGTACGTTGTTAGGATCAAGTTCTTCACTGTTCAGGAACTTGTTTATACGCTTCACAGAAACTTGCGTCTATCGATCCACACACATGGAAAACAAAAATCGATTAGAAATGCTGCACAACAAACAGTAATTTTCACACGGAAGGGCGGTTAGTAGATGGGAGAGGGTTTTGTATAGGGGAAAGATATGCTCCAGTCCAGAATTTAATGAGTGCTTGGTATCCTCGACATCTGCCGAGGCCATTAAATACCCCCTGCAGAATGACGAGTATTTAAATGTTACGGAATGGGGAACTTGAATTGGACAAATTGAGAATTTTAAGAGTTAAATCACAGAATATGTGGAAATGGAAAGGATTAAATCAGCGGTTGGCCATTGACCATTGATGCAAGGACTCGGGATGCACAAGCGAATGCCGCAAAATAGAATACTCGAGAATAGTATTGATTCTAGAGTCTATTTCCGCTGAAGAGGATTGTTTTGGCTTTCTTTTCTTGGAAAATAACATTTCAAATGGTAATAAAAATGACGGACATAGTGACGAATCCCCCAGAAATACTACCCACTGCAAGAGTTATCAGAAATAAACCCAAATATAACATTCGAAATGTAAAAGCAGAAACCCGCAACCATAGTATGTTGAAAAACGGAATTTGGATTGGTTGCGGACAATTGTAAATCCCAGAGAATGAATGAGATGAAATAAATTTAGAAAATGGTTTTAAGATATTCTAAATGGATCGGTGGATCTGTGGTTTGAGGAGTGTACGGGAGTGTTGGGTCATGTAAATTTGTTTTCGGCTAAAAAAGAAATCAAATTCAATAAAATCAAACATAAATCACAATCACAAAAACGTCACAGTAGCTGGAACCGATCACAATGTGGGGCCCGTTGAGAGAGATCCAAAGTGTGGCAGAATCTCTACCCTAGCGGTGGGCCCCCCACTGTGATCGAGTTTGGCGATATTGCAATTGGGATTAAAACTTACTTGCACCAGGTTGGTGATCAGCATGGGCAACATTGTTAGCGGAAAACGAAGAATGTTGAATAATGATAATGAGACAAAGGTTTTGGTGGCATCAAGCACATTATTTTCATCGACTAGAACGTAAGTGGCAAATGTAACTAATGAAACCTAAAAGATAATACACGAGAATTGTTAAAACGATTTGCATTTGAATTGATAAGTTTTGATTTGGATTTTTGGTTGGTTTTTCTTTGTTTTTTTTTTTTGGGTATGGATTTTGGAGTCGATTGTATGCACCATAGCCGAAGAGTAGGAAATGATGTTCGTGCCGCTTCCATAATCATCCATAATCATCGTAGCCTTTACCTCGGCTATGTCAACAGTCAGCATGGGCAAGACGGTCAGCGGGATTTTCATGATGTCGAATAATGCGAGACTGACAAACACTTTTTGGACGCTCAGCTGATTCGCCTCGCTGGTCAGCACGTAAGTGGCAAATGTGACCAGGGAAACCTTTTTGTTTTTTTATAGACACATTCGGATAGTTCCAAGATTAGTTCCAGTCCAACAATTGATAGGCGGCCCACTGCCGGCAGCTGTAAAGAGATTTCAAAGCTTGGCCCGTCGTCAGGGACGTGGGCATATCTTACCAGGAAGGGCGCACATGACCACAGGAACGATGTGCTGGCATTCAGATAAGCGGTCGAGCGCAGTGTGGCTATCTCCTTCTCACGTATGTCCAACACTTGCTTCTCGAAGCTCGGCTCCCAGGCATACAGCTTGAGGACCTGTTCATACAGCATTAGCGGGGATTGCCTTTAGATGGAAGAATTTGCAACTCACCTTAATGCCACTCAACACCTCATTCATCAGCTTGACGCGGTCGTCCTTGTACTTCATTTGACGTACTTGATAGGTCTTGATGCGACTGGCAATTACACCATTCACCGGAATGAGAATAACCAACACAGCCAGGCCAGCGAGCACAGACGGGCCCAACTGCTGCCACAGGAAATACAAAGCCAAACCGATTTGCAGTGGCGCCGACCATATCATGTTCAGGTACGTGGTCAATTCCATGAAGCGCTGTGCATCCACGGCCATCAGGTTGACAATCTCGCCGACGGTGGATTCCTTTTTGGTGGCATTGGAGATGAGCAGAGCCTTGCGGTAGATGGCATTGATGAGGGCGGTGCGAATGCGAAGACCCACAATGAACATGCGATGGAAGTATTGGCCGAGAATGAAGGTCTGGGCAGCGGCAAGGATGAACAGCACAACGGAGTACAGGATACCCTTCCATTCGGGCTGTGGATCGGTATCCTGCTGCTCCACAAAGCTAATAATCATGCTAAGCACCTCGGGCTGGGCAAAGGTCAGGACGTCTGTAATGAATTTCATGAGGGCTCCGAACAGGAAGACGCCGCCAAAGGACTTGTAAATTGGCGGCATAATGCTGGCCATGCCCTTCTTGCGCCCGGTCTTCTCTCCGTGCGGATTCTCGAACGTCACATTGCCATTGCTAAACTGGGCCTTGGGCTCCGCCTTGGCGCGGCCCTTGTAGTTCTTACGCACATTCTGGTTCCAGTGATAGGCGAAGATGGGCATCACCTCGGAGCAGCTGTCCTGGGGACGCAGATCCCACAGATCATTCTCCTCCAGCGGATTGCGATAGCCCTTAAGGGCCATCTTATCGAACCAGTGGTACGTGATCCTTGACAGGAAACTGGCCGACAGTTCGGGTATCTCGTTCTCGCCTCGCTGGTACTTGGTCTGCCTGGGCTGGCCATCGGCGAAGCAGTTGAGCAGCAGCATGCAGCAGTACAAGGTGAACGACACGAAGAAGCTCACGTACAGGTACTCCTCCCAGGAGAAGTCCGACTCAGATGGCTGCTGAGACGCGTCGATCTTGTTGCGCTCCGATGCGTCGCTCACCTCCGTGCGACAGCGCGGAATGGAGAATATGGTCAGCAGGAACCAGAAAAGGAACTGGCAACCTGTCGTCTGCACGCCGTACTTCCGGTTCAGCGGTATAAAGATGAGAATCAGCAGGAAGGTGGCAAACTTGATAATCGGACCCCACACATCAAGGTCGTACAGCGGTAGCTCCGAGTCGCCGCCCTTCTTTACCAGCGCCATGATTAGGTCGAGGGCATTGATCACCAGAAGTCCGATATTCACGAGCAACTTGGTCACATTTAGCTTGTTCCATGGTATATTCCTGTCCAAGCTGGCCTTCAGGTAGTAAAAATCAAAGACCACAAAGAGCCAGTAGAAGGCGCATGGCGCCCACACGAGGGCGGTCTGTTCGAAGCAGGGCGTAAAGTCCGGATTGTTTGTATACCAGGTCACTGTGGAGTTCTGCAATGCACACACGAGCAAAAAGCAATTAAAAAATAGTTAATTGATTCTCGGAATTTGATCGGCAGATCTATGACGCACCCAGAATGTGGATCCACAAAACCTGTCCATCGGCGATCCAATATCCTCCGCCATGGCTCTGATCGCGTTTTAGAGCCAACACCACGTGCGTTTCTTGAGGGAATTATAGGTATAAAAGTTATAGCTATAATAGAAAAAAAATAACAAAAGTTAACCAGCTGTTCCGTTCTCAAGAAGCGGCGCAACAACAACTTGCTGTTGGTATTTTCTGGATGGTAGTTTCTTTAATAGCCAGTGCTGCCAACATTTTAGCAAAATTTTAGCAGCTGTTCTGGTAGAAAATTATTATTATATTATAGAGTTCGTATAATAATATTTTGTAATAGCCAAACTAGCCATAAAATAGTATTTTTGTATAAATGGTATTACTACCCTAATCACATACGGTCACGCTGTTTTGAATTCTGACAAGTTGACAGCCCTGCTAAGGAACTTCGACAAATTGTGCATGTAGGGAATAATTAAAGTTATTTCACGCTCTATTTAGATAGTATTTAATCAGCGCGAGATAATTTAAACAAAATCATGTCACGCCGCACAAATTTTATCGACGGCAACGACAGTTTCCGCGATCAGAATCTACGTTTTGTTCGGGTAAGCAAACACAGCGATGAAGAAGAAGAAACGTTTTTTTCTGGGCCAAAAAAGAAATATGTGTATGAATTCTCGGTTTTCTCTGCCCGCACAGAATGAGTTCGAGGATAATATGAACCAGTTCTTCGGGGGCGCTAATCCATCTGACAATACACAGCAGCAGCAGCAGGCGCCACCGCGGGATGCTTTAATTGTGCAACCCACACCAGGTGAGTGAAATGTTTAACCCGGCGGAGACTTCTCTTCCAGCGGTGGAAGCCCAAGAACGTGCGCAATTCTTGCCGGTCAGGCATGACACCAAACATCTGATAAAAGGGCTGCCTAGTTTACGCTTATCATTTGAACAAGCACCTGGCCGTGGGGCTAATCTCGACAAGTGCGGAATCATGTCTTTCAGATAGACATCGGTCTGACACTTGTCGCTATCGATTGCGTATGCGTTACGGGACCCCTAAGTATAGTACAGTGAATGCACGCTAAGTTGTAAAACAAATCCCGGATAAAGATGTCACTTGAACGTCTTTTTACTAGATTTACTTTGTAATCTTTTCTTTATATATTTTGATAAGTGTATGGGAAATCCGGCTGGAAGGTCTTAACCTCCGCCCACTCCACTGCCGCAGACCTTTCTTGATGTCACAGTCAATGGCAAATATGCAACAAAAAAAAACTAGTTTTAACTGAAGATACAATAGCTAATCTTAGCACCCTGGAGGTGGAGAAGTTTTAGGCGTTCGTGTGGCCGCTAGTCACATTTTATGGGCGCTAAAAACTTGTTTGCCGCGTCGACGCGTACCCGTGTGTTTTAAGAGTTTGGCTATAGATAAAATTCTAGCCGCTGAAAACGAGTATTAGATTTTTGATGTATGTAATTAGCAACGAAAACCAGTTCCCCCCTCCAACCATCCATCAGGCAATTATATAATATTTGAACGAAATAAAAGTTCCCCTCTTTTAAGAAACATTTTTGATTTCAAATTGTTGCGCTTTTCCCGGAATTTCTCTGCAAAAAATGTGCACTGTCATGATGAGATGATGGTTAGATCTGCGCCCCCAGAGATATTCATCTGATAAAAGTGCTGCCTGGTTCATTAGACTTTTCCTTTCCTTGCATGGAAATAATATGTATAATTTATGTATTATTATCTCCCCACAACGCTACTTGATACACAATATTAATGGACACTGACAGTGTTTGTCTACGATCGGAGCGATGAGCTGAGTGTATATTCTGGCCCTCAAGAAGTCCTCTTCCTGGTTGCTCACAGTTTTTACCAATGTCTGCTATCTATCTACTATATCTTTTGTGCCTTCTGTCACGAAATGGCTTCTTATCTCGCTTTTTGCTTCGGAGCACACTTCACAATCTCTTTCTAGTTTTGAATTGCATTTTATAGTCCTGGCCGCTTCTTATCGCGCTCACACTTGCTCCAGTTTGTTGTTCCTCTTCTATGAACAATAACAATGAGTTGCCATGACTAGTCCGATTATCAAGACCTCCAGCAGAATCTGTCGAAGCTACTATGTACATAGATACCATCGTTCCAAGGTCTGTAAAAAACGCGTTTGGCTCTATGACGTCAACTCGAATTACAGAAATCTAATCATAGCCATTAGTTTTAGTTTTTCTCTCTCTGCTAATGTCTACATGTGCAATTTCATTCGAATAACCTTGCCAGTACCAATTTAATTATTTTTGTATTTTTTATCAATTAAATTGCGCTTGGAGCATGACAAAACACAAATTGTTTTTATCAAACAATTTGAAACGTGATTCACCCACAAGACCCCCAACAACATGCGGGAGAAACGTTTGAGCGCGAACAAAACTCACGCACCACCACCACGCTTCACGCGCCACAAAAACACTTGTTACGTCCCGCGGTCGGTCGAACCAGAGAATCGATGCGACCGAAAATATCACTTATAATTACCTCTACGTACATATACTGGGGGAGGCGAGAGAATCAAATTGTTTTAAGGGCGGGGCACACAATGAATAGACTGAACCCGCTCGCAACGAACTGAAAAGTTAACTGAATGGCAGCCAAACGTTGCGGACAAACTTATTTGTTTGGCATTTCAATAGACGACGAAAAATATATGCACAAAAGAGAGCGCTGATATACCACGTCAGAGAGAGATAAACCCAATAAAGAGAGCGAGATATGGGTGAAACAAAAATCAACCAACAATGACTATAAAAAAGAAGACAAAACCCAGAGCTAGATAGCGAGTTGCTAGAAGAGAGAAAGAGAGCATCGTACTCTTTTTCAGACTTTGATCAATGAAAAAGCTGAGAAGCCCGGCTTGTAATAACAGTGAAAAGCATGAGAGCTGGTCACATTGCAAAACACTGGACTAACTGTGTATTTGCATTGGCATGCCAATACATGGCAAATAAACTGACTCTCTCACTCTCTCTTTCTCTATCGCCGCTCTCCATCTCTCTTAATACCAAATGGTCTGCAAACATACATATGCATGTACATACATACATAGACTCTTCCAGATGTGATGAAATAATTTTCGCCCAAAGAGAGAAAACTTAACTAAACCAAAAGCTGGCAACTCTTTACAACAACAAACAAATCAACTTGAAAAGGCAGTGGGCTCATTTATGCCCATTTATGGCTTTTTTAAAGGGTATTTTTTGGTTTATTTGTGTTGTTGTATTATTATTACTTTTATTTAATTATTAATGAATACCTTGAAAGTTTCGTGTGCAGACAGGAAACCGCCCAGTGACTAGTCTTAACCAGAGTTCTTCCTTCCATCCTTCTACACTTTCACATAGACGGCCATGTGCTGGACACTCGCCGCCAGTTTCTGCGCCAATTGGGCGCCAGTCCGAAAATGGCACACGCCCTGGCTGTGCGCACCCTCGAGGTGCCTAATTTTGATCTGCTCCACTTCCAGCGGCGCCGCTATCGCCTCAGCGTGGAGCTGGGCGACAGTCGGCAGCCCGATGTGGATGCCGTTGTGCTTCAGTCGATCGGCACTCTGCTGGAGAAATCCAAAGCGAATCGAAACCAGAGCCGTCCACGCACACCATCGCCGCCGCGCAACATCAACTGGCACAACAGTCGCGACATATCGCCGCAGCAGATTGAACGATCGCGTCCACGCACTCGCAATGATGAGGATAATATTCGGGGCCGTCCGAGGGGAGCACCAGTTCCCAGGGAAAACCTTCCATCGGGCCCAAGGAACGAGGTAACATCGCCAGCTCGTCGGGATGATTTCATACCTTCTCCTAGAATGAATGTGCCACAAGGTCGCAGGAATGATGTACCACCCGGACGGAGAGATGTTCCACAAGTTCGCAAAGATGATTCCCCAACTGGTCCCAGAATGAATGTGCCACAAGGTCGCAGAAATGATGTGCCACCAGCACGCAGAGATGCTCCAGCAGCACGTAGAAATGATGCTTCACCTGCTCCTAGAATGAATTTTCCAGAAGGTCGCAGGAATGATGCTTCGCCAGGACGTAGAAATGATTCTCCAAGAATGAATTTGACACAGAGTCGCAAAGCTGTTGTCCCACCAGGACGCAGCGATGCAGTTCCACCTGCCAATGTACCACAAGGTCGCAGGAATGATGCCCCAGTAGGCCGCAGAGCTGGTTTTTCATCTGGTCCCAATGCGAATGTTCCACCAGCACGCAGGAATGATCGCAGCGATGCGTCTCCAGTCGCTGCCAGAGTGAATTTAGGACGCAAGGATGCTACTCCTTCTATTCCCACAGAGAATATACCATTGGGTGGCAGAGCACCGGCTGCTCCACCTGGTCCCAGGGCAGCGATCCCAACAGTCCCCGTGGCCGCAGTGCCACCTCGTGGGAAAACGACTGCCGGTCCTAGAAAAACCGTTCCGCCAGCTCGCTTGGAACCATTTCCGGCAGTAGGCCGTACACAGGCTGGTCCACAACATCCTAGTGAGGTCGCACCAGCAGTGCGCGGGAAGCCTGGTCCTCCAATGCGCAGAAAGCCAGGCCTGGGGAAGCCTGGTGCAGCCGGTCCAGGACGCGGACCACCAATGCAAGGGAAACCTTCTGGTCCAACCATTCGCGGAAAACCTGGCCCACCTGATCGCAGGAACAACAGTCAAGGTCCAGGCCGTGAGAAAGCTGTTCCTCAAGGTCGCAGGCCAACAGTTCGCCGAGACAATAGTCAAGAATTTGTCGAACATGAGCGCAGTCCTCCGCACTTCGGTGGGGCTCGCAATGATTCCTACCCGAACAATCGCCCAGATCGTTACCCAAATAATCGTAATGAGAACTTTGAGATGAATAACCGTGGCATGGATGAAGAATTTTGCGATCAGCGGGACTTTAATGATCCACGCTTCAACCACGCACAACGTGGACCTGGCCCTGATAACTTTTTGGTCAACCAACGTCAGAACATCGATCACGACGACGACGACGACGACGACGACTTTCAGCGCCAGCCGCCAGCGCCTTTTATGGGTCATCCAAACACAGAATTGTTCGATTCAGAGCCCAACTTTGGGGGACAGCAACAGCAGTCAAGAAACATGGGGGGACGCCCCCAAATTGGGAAAAATTACCAGCGCATCTTCCACAACGATCAAGTAACTATTCTACGTACGGACTTGGTGGATCGCAATGTACGCCATTTCGATCGTAATCAGGATAACTTTGGTCCCAATGATCGCGACTTTGAGGGCAACTTTCGTCATCGGGAGCTACGTTTCAACGATGCCAGAGATGGGCGGCAGTTTATGGATGAAGAACGCTTTCGCGGACAGCAGCAGGTGGACAACTTTGGGGAGCAGAACAAAAACTGGCGCTTCAATAATTTTGATAACAACTTAGAGCGCAACGATCCGCACAACAGAGATGTTCGATTTAATTTCAACAACGAACCGAACGACAGAGATCTACGTTTCAATTTCAGCAGCGATGATCGTGATGCATACAGACTCGAACGCGAACCCAATGATCGCAACGATCAAGGCTTCATTGACGACATTGACGATATTGACGACTCTGGACCTGGACCCTATCAATCCAATCAACATCGGTTCAGTGGCGGCGATCATCGCTTTGAGAACGATCGTGACTTCGATAGGCAGCAGCTGGAGTTTGATGGAAATTTCAATCAATCGAACGACCAACAAGAGTTTGACACTTTCCGCAACGATTTCCAACCAAATCAATATCAAGACAATTTTGATTTTGATTTTCAAGATAGAGGAGATCGCCGCTCGTTGGATCGTGGCAATGAACGCTCTGGCTATGGTTACCGTAACACAAATGCTCATAATCAAGAACGTAACACTGCCAGGAATATAAATTCTGGTGGGTCAAATCAAGCTCGACAGGGTCCACGGAATGTCAATGCTGTTGGTCCCAATCAAAAGCGAATAAATTCGTCTGCAAATCGTGCGGGAAATGCACCAAGAAATACCTATCCCTCAGCCAGGGCCTCTGGTACGAATCCATCAACAATAACAGCCAAGGGTGACAAGAACACTTTTGCGGCCAATCCTGTTGCCTCAGCCGCCAATCAAGAGGCAAGCACTTCAATGCAGACCAGGATAATGCCGGGCAAGCCGCCAGAGGCAAACCCTCGTGCTGGTAAGGCCAACAAAACCAAAACCTAATTCGTTTCAAACATTATCAGTAAATGTTTATTGTCCACTAAAACATTTACTGGCGATGAATGATGTTGTAAAGAATTATTTTGATTGCGGCAGGGATGCAGACCGGTTTCGAAGAGCCTTATAATTGGTTACGCCTTCAATAGAGATTTCTTCACTCAATCCTTCAACCGTTTACATCGACCAAAGAGCTCGACACCGACTGAATGGATATTAAACCCCTGCAAGGGAATATTTTCCTATAAGCAATTCATTCGAACCGAACCGACTTGCATCCCCGCCTCGCGGAGAATATTTCTAAAACAAAAAAAATAATACCCATAATTTTACAGGGCAAAAGCGAGTCGCTGGCGATGCACCCCAGCCAACAGTTGGGGTTGCGGCCAAGCGACGCAAAACTATCAAGGGTAAATGCTTCAATATTGGCGGCAAAAAGTTGCCCTATGTGGTGTTCGATGGAAAGTTGCCGCAGGCCGAGGAGGAGTCCTATGCTGTTACCTTCTTCGAGCAAATACCCAACTACAATACGAATGTCTTTGCCACCGAGGATGGCATAGTTGTGGAGGAGCCCGACAATGGCGATGATAGTTCAGACAGCGAAGTGGAGCTGCCCGAAACCACAAAGGGGTCGGGCAGATATTTTTCTAAATCAAAAATTCAAAAGGGCCTGCGTAACGAATGGACAGCTCTGTATCGTAATAATAACTACAAGGACTGGCACAATTGGTGGACGGATTACAAGTGGTGTGGCCACGAGATCAACAAGGTGCTGGAGAAGTTCGACAATCGGAATCTGCAGAATCGCTTTTTGCCACTCTACAAAACCAAAACCACTGAAGAAGTGGTTAATAGGGTCTTTCAATTGGGAAACCTCGGATTAGAAAAGAATACATTCCATGTGCAACGCAATATGCGGGCCATCTTCATGCTGATGAACGAAACTTTCCTGACCAAACTGCAAATTCAGCAAATTGAGAAGCTGGAGAACTTGATACGGCGTGTGCCCAACCATTTGTGGCTGTATAAGCTGCGTAGCATGGTCTTTTTGTGGTCGAAATATAAACAAATCCTGAAGGACCAACCAAAAAATATAAGTAAAACTTCCCTCAATGGATATGCCAAAAAATGGAAGACACCCATGTTTCACTGGTTGGCCAAGCAGGCATTTGATGAGCTCAAGGTATGTGCTCATAAAAAAGTATTTCCCAAATCAAACTGAGATTTTTTCCGTTTCACCCACAGGCAATCAGTGAAATCTCTTGGCCGGATCATAACAAATTCTACCCGGGCATAAAGAAACCCGTTAAGAAATAAATTTTGCCTAGAAACATTCACATTTAATATAAACTTTTAGCATTGAAGTGTAAATTGAATTAGAATAAAATAAACATTTCCCTCTACCTTGACACAATGTGCAATGTGCATATAATCCCTATAAATAATATCTGTAATATTTTGATTTTTTCTCTTTAAACAAACCACTAATGTTTCCACCTTCTTTTCCGTCAGGCTTCTGTGTGAAGAGCTTCAAGGTGAACAGCAATGAGAAGTTCTTCATCAATGTGTGCCAGGCGCCGGAGGTTCCAGCGCCCGAAGATGTCACTGAAGAGGAGTTAATTGCCATACTGGAATCACCGACACCGGGCTCGTTTCGTGTGCCCATGAGCATATCCGATCCGCGACAAACCAAGGATCGTTCCAACAAAACCGTCGATGTCTGTGACATTGCCATCAATCCGCAGTTTCTGGTGAAGTTGCAGAAATCGCAGCTCTTCAAGAACTTCTTTCAGCAACTATCCGCCGAGGCCCTAAGCGAGAAGTACAACGTACAAATATCCATGGAAAAGACCATCATCCTAAACAATCGCAAGTTCATGGGCACCCTGGTCTCCCATCGAGTGCGCAACGCTGATGTGAAACATGTCCAGTCCGTTACCGGTAATCCAGCTGCAGTTGAAGGCGCCAAGGATAAGCAGGCGCCTTCGAAATTGATCCAGGAGATCGATGCCAAGCATGCGGCTGAAATCCGTAAGAGCCGTCAGAGAGAGGAGCTGCAGTACAAGCTACGTGCCCAGATTCGCGATGAAGCTGTTCATGAAATCCTCGCCGAGATCTATCTACCCAATTGTGTATGTGTTTAAATATTACAAAATAATATGGTATTAATCATAAAACTCTTCCATGTTATAGGTCTCGTCGCATGAGGTCAACCTGGATGTGGGTGAGGATCGCATCCTTGTGGAATCCAAGAAGCACGGCTATCTCTTTGACAAATTTGTCAACTATCGCTTGCAACAGGATCGCGCCCGTGCTCTGTTCGACAAGACAAGCAAGGTAAAAGTCCCCTGGAACCCCAGTCTATACATTTCTTTATACAAATTTTATTTTTCTTTCAGATGCTTCAAGTCCGCATTCCTGTTTTCAGTCAATAATCATAGAAAAACATAGCGCATCTTCGCCTTATATATTCATAATGCTTAAAAATAAATTGTTTCATTTCGAAAATGTTACCAAATTATGACAGAAATAATTTAAAAGAAATTAAGTTTTTTCTCCTTTAAAAATGTATTGTTGTATAAAGTATACATTTTCGTTTTGCCATTTTGCTATGAAAATATGTAAATTTTCCAGCTAAAAATACCGTCTTTCTTTTTCTGGTATCAGTTTTTTTTATTTATTTAGTATTGTGTGACGGAAAATTCATCAGTCTAAATTTAGGCGGAAAGCAGTAAAACTCTTATTGTTTCACATCCAACGAATTTTATATATTTTCTTAGTACTTAGTTGAAGATATTCATTGGTATCTTTGTGGTACTTTTGCACCTGTGGTCATCACGTTTAAATAATAGGGCTGAAACTGAATTGTTTGTTGACAATCAATCAAAATCAAAATAATCAAAATGGTCCCCCATTTATATTAAGTTTCCAGTTTTAAGCCTGGTACTACAAAAACATTTTGCTAGCAAAATATAGAATGCTCAAGAGTGACCAGAGCTTAACACTGCATACCGTGCGGTTCTGTTGTTTTGCAAAAATTGTTTTGTGATGGGTAAATGACAGGAAATTTATTTAACAATCGGATAAAACCATATGTTCAGTGGTGAAAGTCGCAACTAGGTTTTAATATTAGTTCGAATATACAAATTAAGGATTATGATTTTCAACAGCATATTAACGGTATATTTTGAAAGTGATGCGGTATTTTTCGGCATATGTTTGAGGGTCAGAGCGTATATTTTATCGACAATTCAGACTGACTGCCGGTAATGCAGCCCTGACAGACGATTGTGAAAAAATTTGTGAAAAGTGTTTATGAGGCCAGAAAATCATTATAAATATTTATATTAAAGAATTAGTAGCATAAAAGTGGTTTCTGAAAAAAGCAAATTCGTGCAGTAATGGACTTTCGCAACAAGAATGAGGCTTATGGCATTGGCCAGCGTCGTGTGGGAATCGGTAACTTTAGCGGCTCTGGCTCTGGCCCTGGTGCCGCGTTTTATGCGCCAAACTTTGGCAACGATGGTGGTAGCATCAGCTACCACAACAACAACTTGCAGCTGGACCGCGGCAATAATCAAGGATACGGTAACAGGAATACAAGCCCGGATATGGGAAGCAACTTTGCTCGCAGTCGCCCCACAATCAACAACAATTTTCCCTACAACGACAACAGTCGTCAGAGGGACTTGGAGATGATCTCGCGCGATGCAGGGTCGAATAACTATTCGCGGGGCATGGAAAACCGCTCTAACTTCAATTCCAACAACCAGAATCAGCGCTATAGCAACTCCAATGATAACTTTGGCGTTAGCCAGCAGCGTCGAGACTTTGACGACAATTTTCGAGGAGTTGGCGGCCCCACGGGGCACCTGGGAGATTCCCGTGATTTGCCAAGCAATTTTGGCAACTTTGGCCGCCCTGACAGCAATGATGCGCCGAGCTTTGTCAATCGGAATTCGGTGAGTTCTAACTTCAATTCCGATTTCCGTAACTTGGACAACAACTACCGTGGCCCACAGTCGAGCACCAACTGCGGCGACAACAATGGGCGCTTCTACAATGATTTGCCACGGAACCAGAATCGTTCCACTAACGTTGGACCCTCCAACGATGTGGCCAACTTTAACGACAATTATCGCGGCGCCCGCTCCCAAAACTTTGGGGATCAACAGCGCTCCAACTATAATGATGCCGATCGCAACTCTTATGGCGGTGGCGGCGGTGGCAACTTTAATGAGAATTTCCGTGGCAATAATTACGGAAACTCTGGCTCCAATGTGGACAACTTTGGGCCTACTGGTTCCAGCTTTAACAACAATATTGGCATGAATAATGTCGGTCCATCTGGAGGCAATTTTGGTGGCCAGAACAGCCGCAACTTTCCGCAGAACGAACGGCGCAGCTATAACGATGGCAACGCCCGGTCTTGGAACAACTCCAATACGCAGCAATCGTCTTCATTCCAAGACTCGGGGTATCAGTCGGTTAACAGCGGCAATGGCAATGGCAATGGCAATGGCAACGGGAATGGAAATGGAAATGGCAATGCCAATGGCAATCTGTCTGCCTGGGAGGCTAGCCAGAGGGCCTACAACTCCAAGCGAAACCAGAATTCACCCAAGAAGAATCTGAACAACGGCGGCGTCATCCGCAAACCGGCCCCAGCACCAGCCATTAAAAATATGCAAGGTATTCGCAACAATCAAAAAACTGTGGCCTTGATCAGTGCCAATGCGGCTAGAGTTCCAGCAGTACGGAATCCCGTGGCTGCCACTGCCAATGCACGAATAGCAGGAGCCGGTCCTGCTGCCAATCCACGCATAGGAGGCTCCGGTCCGATTGGCAACGCTCCACGCAATGCCTTGGGTCCCGTGCCCAATGCCCAACGCAAAGCCGTCGCACGCGTACTTGGAACGGTTCAGAACAAACCAATGATTCCTTCACGCAATCAAATAAAGCTGCGCAACCTGAGACTCAATGTAAGGAAGCCCAACAATATCGGACCGAATCAGCCGGGAGCTGTCATTGCCAGTCGGAAACCGCTGCCAGTCAGAGCCCTGAAGGCAGTGCCGGCAAAGGGTCCGACTGGCGCTGGAGCAGCACCACGACCAGGTAAGTCGTTACCCTACAGCTTCCCTTATAGTATCCCTTCTAACACTTTCGTTAATTGACAGGACAAAAGCGCGACCCAGCAGCTGCTGTAGCCCCAGCACCAGCACCAGCAGTCGGTTCGCCGCTTTCAAAGTCTGAGAGAAAGTGGCTAAAGGTGGCCCGCAAGCGTGGCTTCCTCATGGGCGGATTTAAGCTGCCATATATTCTCAATGGGGATCCGAAGAAGCTGCCGCAGTTTGAGGACGAATCGTATGCGGTGGCCTTCTTCGAGCAGACCTTTATCTACAGTACAAACCCATATGCCGGTGAGGAGGAGTTCACTGAGGCAGCGGTCGTTATCAATGAGGATTCGGATGATGAAGAGCTCAAGGCTGCGCGTAAGATACACAAGCGTTCCAGGAAACGTCTGCGCTCCGATTTGGTGGCCGTACATCAGGCGACCAGCAAAATGGACTGGCCCAGCTGGTGGAAGGATCACAAGCCGCTTGGGGAGGAGATCGACAAACAATTGAAGGCCTGTGGCAATCTCAATCTGGAGCACAGTTTCTTGCCCAATTTCCCGAAGCTAACCACCGCGCAGGTGATCGATGCTGTCATAAAGCAGGCCCACTTTGGCTTGGAGAAGAATACGGATGTGCCCTTCGACACCATGAAGACGATTTTCACGCTGATGAATCTAACCTTTTTGGAGAACCTGACGGACGCGAACAAGGAGGAAGTTCAGAACATTATACGCAACATACCCAATGCCCTTTGGATACACAAAATGCGCACCATGATCAATCTGTGGGCCAAATATAAGAAAGTATCGGAGCCATCGACGGCCACAGAGGCCGAGGCCAAGGAGGAGCATAACCGTCAGCAGCAGGCCACTGCCCGTGAATGGAAGAGTCCCGGCTTCCACTGGGTGGCCAAGCAAGCCTTTGATGAACTTGTGGTAGGCATTCAAATTCTAAATTTCATATAACATTTTCTTTTCTGATGCCCATCCCTTCTTTATTTTCAGTCTATTAGCGCAGCCGAGTGGAATGAGCATACCACACTCTTTCCGAAAGTAGATTAATCCCAATCCCATACCATCCACACACATCCTCACACTGACACTAATCCAAAACTCAGCAGAGCAAATTCACTTGCTTGCATGCATTCAGATTGTACGAATGAAATTTACAAACATGTATTCATGAAAATCCTATGAAAACAATAGGAATTAGCTTGTAATTAGATCAGATTGATTGAACAAATAAAATACCGACACAAAAATCGATGCAGTTATGATGCCAAAGAGAAATTCCGAGAACACCACAAATGTCGTGTGCATGAGTGCAGACCCATTTATGCTCGGTCTCGGAAGGTAAAAGTGACCACAAAATAGAATCACCAAAACGATCCGTGCTTGGCATATTCACTCGTTCTTGCGTTTGTGTGCAAAGACAACACGCATAACGGAACATTGTAATGAAATTGCAATTGCATTCTCGATTCCCTTGCATTATGTTACTGTACTCTGTTGATATTTGTTCCGTATTTTATGCGCCTCACACAGGACTGTGTATGTTGTTGTTGCAGTATGCAGAACGCAAATCCCTTAATGAAACGCAATTTAAGTTCGCAGTCGATGTATTTAACAATTATATTGCCAGCAACAAGGTTGTAAACATAATTCATAATTGGTTCGATGACGTGTTGTCTTTTAAGGCATTACGTACAGGAAATTAGCAAATTGTTTAATGTATTCCCAAATGGGAATACATATTGTTTTTAACGTGTTTCGCAGAGGTCTTTGGCGAGTTTAGCCACCCAGTTGCTTGTACAGAATGGGCACATAATCATCGTACTCGGCCTGGTACAGATTGCCGGCCACCGGGTCGCCCAGGTTGTATTTCTCGGCAAATTTGGCAATCTTGAAGCCACCACGGTCATCGCCGCTGGTGTTGGGCAAACGCTTCTCTTCAAAGTCGAGCTTGCACTTTTGCTCGTAGATGAGGAACACGTAGCGATGCAAGCCAGTGTCTGGCGGGGGGCCCGAGCCAATGTAGGCGGACAGCACCTCGCCCTTGGCAATGTCGCCGCCGGGAATGTTGCCGACCAGCCAGTGGTGCCACTCACGGTACTTGGGCTCCTTACGACTGGGTGCGTCCGGGTCCGTCATGCACAAGGTGTACAGCTTGCTGGCGTCGGCATCCCACTTCACGCTGGGCTGATCCTTCACCTGTGTGGGCGTTAGCACCATGCCGGGCTTTACGACAATGTCGCACGGATATTCCACAGTTGCGGTGGCTTTTGGTGCCTTGGCAATGACATCGGGCACAACACAATTCTCCTCCATGGTTTTTCCTATTGATCCACACGAATACTTGCGTAAATTAAATGCAGCAGCAGGCGAGCGTGGTGTCAGGTGATTTTCTTTTTTTGCAAATGTTGTTGCCGTTCTAATGGCGGCCGGTGCTGGGAAGTTGACATTCACAGCGGTGGTGGCCTTAAGAAAATCGCCCCAGTGCTGTCCAACGGAGCATTTTTGGATGTTGCGTAGTAGCTTTAGGCGCACAAGACTCATATTTCTATAGAAGTATACAACAAAAGGCTAAGAAATAACTGTAGCTATACAAATTTCCACTTGCAAATTTATAGATGGAAATTTTGCTATTCACAGGGAAGCAACAACCTATCGATATCGATACAATTTAAACATTTCGATTTGTATCTGACAAAAAACGCAAAGAAAACTTCAAGAGAATTTCTGATATAATTAATTCGTTTTAATTAAGTTAATATGCCTAAATACTACTACTTACACTATCGGAATAACAAGAAAAGATGGAACAATAAATGTATGAGGGTGGGTGTGTGTGATAATGGGCAAGTGATATGCAGAATTTTTTTGTTTTGTTTTTTTGGGTCAAAGCTACAAGTCTAAAAGTTAAGTTTCTCCTCAGGTAGTACGCTGTGTGGGATAGAACTAAACCTGATAACGTTGCTTTTGTCATGCCTTGCGGAAGACATCGCCGGAACCGTATGACAGTCGCCGCTCCTTGATGTTTGTGGTGACCAAAACCTCGTCATCGTACTGGGAAACCCGCTGCATTTTCGGTCGCATCAGGCCCCGCACGTCGTTGAACGTTATATCGATATCCCTGAAGGCGTTCAGCAGAAACACAGCCGTAATGACTATGAGAAAGCCGCACACATCGCCCAGGATATCGTCGAATCGCATGTGGGTAAACTCCTTGAAGAGTATTGCCGATGCAGTGATCACCAGAGTCGTAAACATCACATAATACACGGGCGTCACGATGCTGGTGTTAAATATGTCCAGCGCCTTGTTCAAATAGTTCATCTGGATGGCAATGAAGGTGACCGTGATCACAATCAGGAACCACGGCATCCAGGTGAGAAAGACATTGCCACCGTTGGCCAGGGTCTGCCGTATGGCCAGACCTAGAGCCTTGCAGCTCATGACGGTCAGCGAGCCAATGCCCGAGCACAGAAATATGTACACCACAACGTTCGTGTGGCCATGCCGCGGAGCAACGAAGCACGCCACAAAGGCCGTGGAGCCAATTATGCAGATGACATACAAAATGAACACCGGATCCAGCAGCATATCGAAGAGCAATTGCAAATCCTCCACCTCCTTCTCCTTGGGCGAGTGTATCACTATGATGGTGGATCCGAGTATGCACAGAAAGCAGCCAATTTTGCCCAGTAGATTGAGTTTCTCGTTGAGGAACCTGGAGGCCATCACCGACGAAATAATCACACTCAGTGCACCCAGGGGTGTGACCAGTGAGGCGGGCGCAAAGGCATAGGCCGCAAAGTTTGCCGCCTCACCCAGGCCCACTGCAAAGACAATGACAACGGACAGTGGAATGGCTGTGATAAGCGAAATTATTTGTCTTTACTCACTTGTCAGCAGCCCCGCCCACCAGATCCATTCGCGTAAATAACCAAATCCGCCAGCCGATGCCCGCACCTCGCCAAACCTGCTCAGTCGCAGGAGCGCCTTCTTTTTGATGATGAAACTGGAACCAATGAAGAAGCAGGAAGATATGGCCAGGCCCACTCCTATGTAGAAATCTGTGTTCGTCAGGGGCTCGGCCAGTGGGCTGGGCGGTGCCAGGCTGGGACCTGCCTGCGTCTGGTCCATCTGCAGTGATGAGGCTTCGCTACTCATTGGATCTGTTTCACCACTCGCTCTGTGTTTTTGCACTTCTTTTCAAAGTCTGTGTGAGTCACAAGCCATGTATGTAAATCCCAGTGGTTGCACTACGCAGCTGTCGATAAACCTCCACCCCCGCCACGGCCACTTGTGGCATTTCGGCGCTAGCGCACTGCAGCCTCACCGTTTCGCCATTCACACTCCGCGTGCGTAGGAGCCAGAAACAAAACAAAACAAATAATCAGAATGCCGCCAAAGTCGAGTAGTAAGAAAAACCAGGCAAGTTGGTACCACTGTGAGACCTGCGGAGTGCACATAACGTCCAAGGCACGCGACAGTCACGATGCCAGCTGCCCCATACCCAGTGAAGTCGATGGAGAGTCGGACTCCGAAGTGGAGTACGTGCGGAATGGAACGCTGTACACGAGGAGCCTGCAGCAGCGCAACTTTGAAGTAGAATCCCTGAAGGATTTGCCAGCAAAGTATGCCAACATGCTGGTGTTTGTATCAGAGGGTGCCATGCGACTATCCCAGCTCCACATTGGCCAGCACGTGGTGATTGAATCCACGTCACAGGAGCAGCTGGTGCGAATTGTGTGGCCCGTTTCGGAGCAGTTCCTAACCACAGTGTTTGTCACAGACAACGGTAGGAATCGAAAGTCTAAGATTTTCGCTATTTATCGCTAAGTTATTTTGTAGATTACAAATCAAATTGGACGAATTTGCGCGGCAAGCTGCTGAAAATCCGAGCATTGGACACCAAATGCCTAACAGCCGCTGGAAGCATCTCCCTGAAACTTATCAGCGAATCGCGTCTGAAGTCTGGACAGCTGAAAGATGCCACCGCTTTGCTGCAGCGTGCAATGGTTAATCAAATCTACTGCCAGGGCACTAAAATTCATTTAAATTTCTTCAACAAGTCGCTGACATTTCGACTGGAGAGCTGGCAGGGCGCTGTGGAGGATGCCCTGGCTGGTCTTAGCCTGGAGGCCAAGTCGCTGCAGTTTGTACAGGTGACAAATGTTACACGGGTGCAATTAATACCCCAGGAGGATGAGGAGGATAAACTGAAGGAGCAGACGAGTTCCTTTCGCATTACAAAATCACAAATTGGAGGATTGGATAAGCAAGTGGAGCTGGTGGAGGAGAGCATGGAGTATGCTCTCGGCCTGAGGACATTGCCAGCAGGTGAGTGGCTCCAGATATTCCCCTCAAACACGTAACATTCAAAGTTCTTTCCCAGGTCTAAAGGTATCGCGCGGCATGCTGCTTTATGGCGCCACTGGCTGCGGCAAGTCCATGGTCTTGGAGGCCATTACCGCCGTCGCTGAGGAACGCAGCCAGAGAAATGTCCAAATCATACGCCTCAATAGTGGCGAAGTGTACAGCAAATTCCTTGGCGAAACGGAACAAAATCTAGCAGCAATCTTCGAGCGGGCTTACGCCCATTATCCGCAACCGACGCTGCTGCTTATCGAGGATGTGCACAATCTCTGTCCCAAGCAAGAGAGCAATGATCTGGTCAAGCGTGTCTCCCTGGCGTTTCTCTCGCTGCTGGACCAACTGAGCAGTCCCCGGCAACTACGTGGTAGCCGCACGTTCCTGCTGGCCACCAGCTCGCAAATCGATGCCCTGCATCCGAGTATACGGAGAGCCGGACGCCTGGACAGTGAACTGGAATTGGGTGTACCCAGCCCGCAGGCACGTCAGGCCATCATCCAGTGTCTGATTCAGTCCGTGGAGCATCAGCTGAGCACCGAAGATGTGGCACAAATTGCCACCATTAGCCATGGCTATGTGGGGGCCGATCTGGCGAATTTGGTGTACACAGCCTTGCTGCAGGCACAGCCACAAGCTCTGCAGCTGAAGAATCTGCAGGAAGCTCTCATCAGCGTCAAGCCATCGGCCATGCGCGAAGTGCTCATCGAGTGCCCCAATGTCCAGTGGTCGGACATTGGCGGCCAGTCCGAGCTGCGGCTAGCCATGCAACAGGCCATCGAATGGCCACTGCTGCATGCGGAGAAGTTCCAGCGTCTGGGCATCAAGCCACCGCGTGGCATTCTCATGTTTGGACCGCCCGGCTGCTCCAAGACGATGATTGCCAAGGCCCTGGCCACCGAGAGCAAACTGAACTTTCTCTCGATCAAGGGGCCGGAGCTGTTCTCCATGTGGGTGGGTGAGTCGGAGCGTGCGGTGCGTGAGGTTTTCCGCAAGGCACGCCAGGTGGCACCCTCGATTGTCTTCTTCGACGAGATCGATGCGATTGGCGGCGAAAGAGCGGAAGGCGATGGCTCTGGCTCTGGTTCGTCCGTCAAAGAGCGCGTTCTTACCCAACTTCTCACCGAACTGGATGGTGTTGAGGCGTTGCAGAATGTCACCATTGTGGCGGCCACCAATCGGCCCGACCTGATAGACAAGGCGCTACTGCGTCCCGGACGCATCGATCGCATACTCTACGTGGGCTTGCCCAAGGCCGATGCTCGCAGCGAAATCTTACACATAAAACTGCGCACCATGCCGCTGGCCAAGGATGTGCAGGTGGACAAGTTGGTGGAGCTAACGGATGGCTATTCGGGTGCCGAAATCCAAGCTGTGTGCCATGAGGCTGCTATGCGGGCGCTCGAGCAAAGCTTCGAGGCGGAGCAGGTGGATTGGTCGCACTTTGAGCATGCTCTGACTGCTGTACAGCCGCGAACCAGTCCTGAGCTCTTAAAACTCTACGAAGACTACTTGAAAAGGAAGTGATTTTTTGAGTGTAAACTTTTACCACTCAAAGACTACAATAAAAAGCATTTAATGTACGTTATTATATTTACTACCATACGTAATTTACGTGTCTAAAGATTATGGCTAAATAGATAAGATTTCAGTAGACTTGGACTGGATTTAGAAACCCAACCCAACCCATTTGGGTTTTTTATTAAATCAAAGATCGACACTTGATTTGGAAATTTGTACCTGGCACTTCTATCTGGAAACGAATCGACTGCTATCGACGCCATCGATAAAGTACAACTAACAATTAATGTCACAATCAATTGAAATGAAACGAAGGAACAAATTAAATGTCTCATATACTGCGAGTGAGTGGATCGTAGCGTGTTTGTATTCCGCTTGGTGTGCAAATCGCTAAAGGCAAACAAATGTCCCACATAGACAGAGAGCATAGCGATCGCTTCTGATTGATACAGTGGAACGCATTGATGATGATATATAAAATTTAAATTTCTGAGAACAATCGAGCACAGATGTTTTTGTTTGTACTAGAATTGCCACTCAAATTATGGAAATAGAATTTTTAATGGCAATTGTTTGATTCGTACTCGTAAACATTCGCGGTCATGGCCAAGGTCATGCAAATGTCTTTTTGTGTGTCAAATGAGTTAAATTCGATATTTATATACCCTTGCCATGGTTTTCAGGCATTAAAAAAAATTTGTATCTATTTAAGGCACACAAAAGCGATTGGAATAAGATTTGTCTCTATATAAATATAATACAAATTGAAAATTTGTCATAAAAAGAAAACCTCTCACCATATCTTTCTATATCTATATCGATGAAATAATTGTATGAAATTTAACAATTCATCGCAAATTTCCAATGAAATCCAAACTAATAAAAATATATAAGAGATCGTTAATTTTTCGATTTATGTGGAAACAATTGTGAAAGGAATTCGTGCAATTGATATCCTAAATTGAAATCGTGTCAATTAAAATAAATGTGTGTTCGGCACGAGTACTCGTACTCCATCTTTGTATCAAACAATCTAGCAGTTAAGTCAGTTTCGGCACAAGTTTTTGACATATGTTAGGGCACTGTGCTTTATTTTGGAGTGAATGACTTTTAAAATTTGAGTTAATACGTAAACAAATTCTCTTTTAGTTTTTAAAAGCTCAGCTGTTGATGAGAACTTGTTGTGAAATGAATAAGTGTCACGCATCTGTTCGCATGATGGGGAGAGCGCGGGAGCAAAGTTAGCGGTTCTCTGCGATCTATGTATACACTGAAAGAAAAATGGCAAAGTACAAATAAGCACAACCATAAATATTTATAACATGTGATTTAAAAATACAAAAGAAGTTTAAATTAATTAATATTACTTTAAGAATAAAAAGTAATAATATAACAAATATTTCCATATTAATGTCAAAATGTAAGAGAAAATATTTAATAGCATAATTATCTATTTAAGTTCAAGTGTAGCTAAATATTGCCCTTTTCTTCCAGTGTAGGAATAGCTAAGGTTAAAAGACAGAGAGAAGGCGTCAGCTCTTGGCGTGCGTCCGATGCGATCCGAACCGAACCGATCAGTTGTCGGTTAGCCGTTCAGTGCTTCGCATGTCGAATTTGTCGTATTGTTGGTGGGGTTACGACACAGGAAACACCACGCGCTGCATTCTTTAGCACCTCTCGGCGGCCCTCGAACGATGAAGTACTGGCTGAAGATCTCCCTGCTGCTGTGCACTTTCGGCTTCCTTCGTGAGCTACGGCCATCGGAGCCGTATGTGACGGAGTATCTGGCCGGAGACTATGGCAATCTGACCACCGAGCAGGTGTACCAAAATGTCTATCCCTTTGGCACGTACTCGGTGCTGGCGCAGCTGGTGATTGTGTTCCTCATCACGGATCTGGTGCGCTACAAGCCGGTGATCGTGTTGTCCGCGGTGGCTGGCATTGTGCTGTTTGCCATGCAGATATGGTGCGACACCCTGGGCATGCTGCAGGTTGCCCAGCTCTTTTATGGCTTCTTCACGGCCGCTGAGGTGGCCTACTACACGTACATCTATGCCAAGGTGGACAAGGAGCGCTATCAGATCGTCACCGGACACACGCGTGCCGCTATATTAAGCGGAAAGTTTCTGGGCGGCCTGGTTGCCCAGGTGCTGGTCTCCACCGACACCATGAACTATGGGGAGCTGTACTACATATCGCTGACCACGCAGATCATATCGTTAGGAGTGTCCCTGGTGCTGCCCAGCGTGCCACGCAGTCTGTACTTTTATGCGACAGATGCCAGTCCGAGTTCCAGTCCAACGCCTGCTGGTGAGGAGATTGCGCCACAATTTTCAATGAAAAATGCCACCCGCCTGCTGTGTTATCATTTGGTCTCCTCCTACTCGAATCCCATTGTCCTGCAGTGGAGTGTGTGGTGGTCCCTGGCCACCTGTGGTCAGATTCAGGTAATCTATGCATGAATTTCCTTGCGTGTGTTCCTCTAATGCTGAGATTTCTCCTTCGATTAGGTGATTTCGTATATTCAGTTCCTGTGGAAGGAGGTGGCGCCCCAGCATCAGAGCAGCTACAATGGCGGCGTGGAGGCAGTGGCCACTCTCCTGGGCGCCGTCGGGGCCATTGCGGCCGGAATGCTGAACTCGAATAAGCGACGCAGCTGCTACATGCTGTGCAACTCCATTTGTGCTGCCGTTTTGGGCGCTCTTCTGCTTTATGCCTCGCAGACCAAAGTCATCTGGGTGGCCTACGTCAACTACGTGATTTTCTGTGCCATTTTCTTCTTCATCATCACCGTGGCGGGTGCCATTGTGGCGGAGAATCTGGTGGAGGACAGCTTTGGGCTCGTCTTTGGCATCAACACGCTGGTGGGACTCTTGCTGCAGACCATTCTCACCATTGTCGTGGTGGAGCCGGGTACTGGCTTTGGCTTGGGTCTGCGGGATCAGTATCTAGTCAATGGCGGCTACTTCGTCTGCTTGGGGGCCATCTATGGACTCGGCATTATCATTGCCAAACTGTGCGCGAGGTCCAGCAATTCAAAACAAGTGCAAATTACCACGTAACGAGAAATTTTACATCCATTTAGCTGAGTTTTGTAGGAATTCGTTTAGCTCAGCCCCACCGAATTTTTTTTTCGAGTGTTCATCCGAAATTGTAGTAAAATGGGTCGATCTATTCGTAATTACTTAAATTTACTTATACAGGGTATACAACGTTAATTATTTTTATGTAAACTGGGATAAATATTATATTAAAACATATTTTTGTATCAAAACAGCAATTTATATCAAATTATTCCTACAGCAGTAGTATACTCGGCAACCCTCTTTTTATTTACACTCACCTACGAGGCCCGTGGCAACTCTATCAACTGCGTGCATCCCATTTTGAGCGCGAACTTTGGTTTCTTTTTGTAAACACATTTATTAAACATTGATTTATTTTACTATACAAAGATTATTGCAGCAGAAGATCCATCTCTTCGGCATTCGACGACATGAGATCACGCTCCAGGCTGCTGGATGCCGCTGTGGCCTGATTCAGAAACAAATCAAAGTCGTAGCCATCGTTTTGAGCCGAAATGGAATCCTTTTGGTTGCTAATTGTTTGCGGATTGGACAGCAAATCCACATCGTACAGACCCAGTTCCTTGAGCAGCGTCTCATTCTCTGTGTTAGTGGAGTCTGTGGACGTGTTGGACTCCAAGGGCTCCTTGATTTCCACATTAATTATGGCCGCCGGCAGCTCAACCGCCTCGAGGCCACAGACAATATTAGCGGGACGAGCGTTGGGATTGGCATTGGCTTCGATTTCATCGTCGTCTAGCTCCTGGGGCTTTAGCGTGCTGGACTTGTACTGAAAGTCGGTCTCCTTGAAGTCCACCTCGATGGGAAAGAGCGGCGGCAGAGACTCCAGCCGCTCCACCAGACTCCGATGCAGCTCGGCCAGACTCTCGAGCAGGCTGCGCAGCTGCTTGTTCAGGTCCATGGCATGCTTGCACTCCAGCAGCTCCATTTTCTCAAGCACATCCGTGCGCAGTTTGGCAAATTTGCTGCGAGCATCCATGCGGCAGCGCAGGATCAGACGGTACTCGTAGTTGCCCGTTTCGACGCGGTAGAGCGGCTCCTGGAGCGACGCAAAGCCATGCTCCTCGTCATCCATTTCCTTGACCTTCAGGCAGTAAGAGAGGTACGTGAATTTGGCATCCGCATAGCGACGTACGGTGAGCTTTGTGTCCGGAATCGCCTTGTTCAGATATGTCCCCAGGTCGGACAGGACAGGTTTAATTTGCTTGATGATGCCCAGCCCGTCCTTCTCCAGCGTTCGATGGAACTCACCAAAGGTGCGGAACGCCTCCGAGGCACGCTGCTGCGGCTCGTGTGCCGAGATTTGTGTGAAGCAATCGCCAAAGGATTTGTATGTCTGAAGCAGGTCATAGTAGGCCTTCAGCATGCGACGCGCGTGCTCCACCAAACCCTTGTACATCAGCTCTGTGCCCTCCAGCTCCTCCAGCCGCTTCACCAGCGAATCGTTGCACAGTATAGCGCGGGACAGGCCCAACGTGTCTGCCGTATTGCTCGACATGTTGTCCACAATTCGATGCTTCAATTTCTTCAGAATGATGTCCAGGGTTTTTCCCTGCTCCGGATCTGCGTGGAGTTTGTTGTAGTGTACGATGACCTCATCGGTGGCCGTTTGAATCATCTTGGCCACCTCCACTTTCGTCTTGCCCTTCACACTGACGGAGTTGACGGCCAGCAGCTCGTCGCCAGACTGAAGTGAACCCTCGCGGGCAGCAGGCGTTCCATCGAAAATCTGTGGGTATAAAAAACATATGTATTCGGGTTACTAACATTCAAAATTTCCTTTCAGTTTTAATAGTTTTTCGGAAATTCAACAAAATTAAAAAAAAAACTCAACAAAAATAATGCCCAACAGCAGCTGGTACAAGTGGACCGATGTGGACTTCAACGACACGCCGCGTGGCCTTAGCCAGAAGCCGGCGACTATTCCGCGCAGCGAGCAAGTGGGCGCAGAGTTACAAGCCATCATGTTGGAGCAGCACGACAATCTGCTGGGTTTAAGTCGCAAGCAGGCCGGCCTGGACGCTTGTGGTCGAAGGAAGCGCAGATTTAGGCTCACAAAACTGACGCCGCGAGTCTGCGAGTATCAGGAAATTTACGAGCGGCACAAGCGGGAGCTGCGCAAGCTGTACGGCAGAGCTGTGCGCGGGAAGACTCAGTTCCACAGCAACCCAATGCCTGACTTTAATCGCCTGCACAAGCGCCTGGAGAAGAGCAGCCTAAGCTTGGGTTCGGGTCAAAATTTCACCAGACCTCGCACGCCGCACACTCTCGTCCTGTCCATGCAGGCAGAGCAAAGGCGTTTGCTTGAAATTAAGGAACACAGAAAGAACACGACGCCAAAGTTTGAGCCAAAAATCAATCGATATCCGCTGTCCTACATGCGACGACAGCCCTTTATGCCTCGCATTGCGTCGTCCATTATTCGAGTAAAGCCTTTCAACCTTCGCAGCGAGGAGCGTGGCGTGCGACGGAAAATGTTCGACCAGCAAGTCTATCAAAAGATGCTGGAGCGCGGCCACAAAGATGCCATGGAATGGGAAGAGCAGCAAGAGACGGAATGGCTAAAGCAACGCCGAAAGACGCTCTTCAAGGCAACACCAAATCCGTGGAAGCGCACAAAGGCAACCGATGCAGGCGGCAAAAAGTGAACTAACAATAGAAAAATGTTAAATTAATTAAACAACTAACCTGCACAATATATAGACAGGGACACATGGGTGCTCCACCGCCAATGCTGATGCCAATTAAGTTGCTCTGATCCTTAGTGATGACGACGGCATTTGTGGTGACAGTCATGCCCCTGATAAAAATCAAAGAAAATTAAAATTTTTGTACTTCTAGAATTGATTGCTAGACTGAAGCGTGCTATACGATTATTGTGTTCCTTTAGGTATACTCACATGGTGTTGTATGTGTGCAAATGTTCTATATATTAGCCATGAGACCTGTTCTAGCAAGGCCATTGAACCTAGGGACACTTTTAAGCTAAGGCAACAATGTCGTTGGGTGCCCCCCAAAATACAAACTTTACTCGTAACATTCTAAGCCTAGCTCTAAGTTCGAGTTAGTGGAGGATTATAAGCAACTAGACAACTACACACAAATGAAAAATCAACAAATTAATTCCTTAATTCTGCTTAAAAATTAAAACAAAATTTAATACCATTAGTTCTAGGAGTCTGTCGGTTACATGGATGGGGGGAATTAGTTACAAATACTAAACGATTCTTGGGTCAAACGCTGGAATGGACTTACAAACGATCTAACTCATTTTTCTGCCTAGTGGACGAGTCGCTGCCAAACCTGTCGGAGCCAAAGCCCGAGGAGCACAGGACAACAGTCGCCTCGTTGATCGAGGAGGAACGCTCAGAGTTCCTTGGCTCCTCCTCGTGTACATCCTTATCCCGCGTGTCCCCATCTAACTGGATGAGCAACGGCACTGGCTCGGGTCTAACAATATGGTTTGATTTTTGTACGATTATTGATTTATAACAGAAACTTACGGGTCGCAACAGTTTGTTTATTTGTTTTGCCAATGAAAGATAAATCTATGCACAGAGTTTTTGGGTAAATAATTACCCAAAAGGCTACTCACATTTTATCCTCCTCGAAGAAGAAGTCATCGTCGGTGTCTGTCAGCATTTTCCGAGTTTAAAAATATATTTTTCGGGTGCTTAAATTGTTTGGCAACTTGAATTCCTTCAAAACGGACTATCGAAACTACCGATAGTGTTATCGATGCTGTGTTCGCAGCCCTATTAAAACGTCATTCACACAAAAACCCCGATGGCCACTTGTTGCCTTGGAAACGCGGAAAAAATAAACAAATTAGCTATGGATTGGGCTGAGGAGCTGAAAATGACTATCAGAAAGGTAAAACTACTATAATAAGGCCAATGATCTATATGAAATAACTTTTGCTCTCGTTTAGACAACGGCCCGCAAGGGTCGTCGCTCCAAGAGTCGCGATGTCTTGAAGGAGGAATCATCGCAACCGGTTAAGGACATATCCATAGACATCACACTCAATGTGCAGGCACAGGGAAGTCCCACAACAACAGAGGCCACCTCGTCCACATACAACAATGAATTTGAATCCCATCGGCCGCCCATCCGACGCATATCTGGAGGCTGGGCGGATGCTGGCTTCAAAGGTTTAAAGTGAGTTTCCGTCAAAGGCTGCCATAAATCGTTGTCAAATTATTACATTTCCTTCACAGATCCAAGAAGCATTCATTCGATGAGTAAGCTATTGAGTTGGTGCTATAGTAGGCATAATTCAATCATATATTTACCCTTTTAGCGAGCGTTTTCAGCAAACAAAGTCGGCCACGTCCGTGCCGACCGATGATATACCTGTTATACCCGATGTGGATGATTTCAAGGATGAAATTATGCTGAACGAGATAGTTGAACCGCCTACGTAAGTAGATGCCTGGGCACTTAGTTATTTAATTCACAATTAATCATCCCTTAGGGCCAGCTTAAATCGTTTGGCGGTTCTCAAGGAGATCAGCACGGATTTGCTCTCGCAGCACGCTTTCAATGCAGTTGATAATTTTAATCTGTCCATACTGACCGATTGTCTGCTGCCCCAGGAGACCCTAAATGAGGTCGATGAGATCTGGCAGTGGGACAAACTCTTCACAGAGGTTTCGGCCGAAATCCATTCGGATAAGGCACCCAATATTGGCGTGAAAATCGGACCCGATGTGGTGCCACCAGCTGCACAGCACACTTGAGAACTAAATGGAAAGTACAAGAACAGTGCAATAAATACTACAATGTTAAATATAGAAATTTCATTTGATCACAAAATACAAATTAGAAAGAAAACCGAAAAATATAGCACCCTAGAACAGAAATGCAGACTGATCCTTTGATTTATTGAATTGGGCGTCCAACGCCATCAAATGCCTTGTTTTTATGATCAGCAGCATTGGCGCGGGCTTCATAATTGCAGATGGTAACGCCATGATAGTGGGCCTCGCTAAACTCTCCTCGAAGACCTGCAATAAAGGAGATCTTATAGTTTCTGCATACATTGTTCTAAGCCCGAACCTACCAATATAGTAGATGCGTGTGTTGTCATCCCCGAAGTTGCTGGGAAAGTACAGGGACAAATGATGAACCGAGGAGAAGTTGACCACCCTGGGAGAGTATTCAATTTCACCGCTAGGGTCGCGTGTTAGCTCAAACTCCTGATCGGGCTTCATCTTGGCATCATCGAATGTCATCTTTGGACGATTCTTGAAGCTGCCACAAGCAAAGTTTCCATTAAATATAAGTAGATACAGATTTCCCACCAGAGCCCACTCACATTTTAACCTTGTTCGGATGCGAGTCATCGTTGGCGCCACAGATGATGATGCCCTTGAGTTTGATGTTGCCGGTAAAGGGTATATTGAAGAGCAGCTCCTCATCAGCATCGCTCTGGACAAATTTACTCGTATCCTGACGAGATTCGTACGGCTTGAAGACTGTTTTGCCGCTTCCTTCAGTTTCCTCGTTCAGGCACTCCAGATTCTCGGAATCAATTTTTGTGTACAAACTGTATTCGATGCCCATTTCCAGGGCGTGATCCACATCGGTGGCCTCGTGGCCACAGCCACCGTGGCCGTGGGAATGTCCATGCGACATTGTTTAGAGACTTTAAATTTTACAAATATCACAAATAACAAAAATAAGTCGAATCATCAAAGGCGGCTGAAATGAATAAGGTCACACTTCCATTTTTCACAAAAATAATGGTATTTTTCAGAAATGGTGGCATACTTACTGTATATTTTTAAAATGATACCATATATTTCTGAGGATCAGGATCTTTTAATCATCAAATGAATAATTAAAATACAAATTTGAAAAATATAAGGTCACAATCCAATAAAAAGGAGTATTTATAATAAACCCAATTGGTTCTTCAATCGGATTAAATTATTGTTTCAGTATTAAAAGTCTATGTAAGCTGGTAATATCAAATAGAACCTCAAAATCGTCGAAAATAATTTAAGATTCACTGCTTCGCACGATATATCGATATATTTGATATTTTTTATATGTTTTTGCATGTAAATTAAAACAAGACCTTTTTTTTGTGAGTAGGTGTACATGGGTCTTTGGTTCAAAAAATGCACAGAATTCTTTCTGTTCGTTACATGGATGTATGTGCATCTGTGCACAAATACAACAAAATATCAATATACTGCATACAAAATCACGTTATAAATATATTTTTATTTTTAAAAACTATCGATATATTGATATTTTGATATATATTTCTGACATTTGACAACCCTATGCCGAAGGAAAAAATTGAAATTTTGGACATTTTTTAATCTGTGTTAATCGCTGTGAAAATCGTTGATAATAATTGCATCCTGTTAAAAATTGTATAATTAACGCAACAATGGCGCCCAAGGCTAGAACCGTTGGTATTAAACCGAAGTCTCAGACCTTCAAAGACAAGTCCAAGCCCACCGATGTTCGCATGTCAAACATACAGGCGGCTAAAGGTAAGAAATGGCTAAATAACCAAAAATAAAACCGAAACATGACATAAAATCTATGTATAATGGTTATTTGTGATGCATATTAGAACTGCAATAGTATGAGAAGTGGTTTAATTGCAAATATACATGGATATTTGCATTTAAAAATCGCAGTTGGACGCCGGCTGCGTCTGGAAACTTCTTATGGAAGAAGCAGAGCAGCGCATTACTCATGTGACAGCGAACTGTGCTGCCAATGTAGCATTTTTCTGGCCAATTCTAGCTTTTATTTGTACTAAAAGAAATGTGTGTGTCTTACAGCTGTCTCTGATGCCATTCGCACGAGCTTGGGTCCCCGCGGCATGGACAAGATGATTCAGGCCGGCAACGGTGAGGTTTCCATCACCAACGATGGTGCCACCATCTTGAAGCAGATGAATGTGCTCCACCCGGCCGCCAAGATGTTGGTCGAGCTGTCCCGCGCCCAGGATGTTGAGGCTGGTGACGGCACCACCTCGGTGGTGGTCATTGCCGGTGCCTTGCTGGAGGCCTGCGAGAAACTGCTGCAGAAGGGCTTGCACCCGACGGCAATATCGGACTCGTTCCAGCGCTGCTCCAACAAGGCTGTGGAGATTCTCACACAGATGGCCACTCCCATTGAGCTGACGGATCGTGAGACTCTGATCAAGAGCGCCTCCACATCGCTTAACTCCAAGGTGGTCTCGCAGCAGAGCAGCCTGCTGGCCCCCATCGCTGTGGACGCCGTGCTGAAGGTCACCGAGCCGGGCAAGGAGACCTCTGTGGATCTCAAGAACATTAAGGTCATCTCCAGCCTGGGCGGCACCGTCGAGGACACTGAGCTCATTGATGGCTTGGTCTTCACCAGCCGCTCGGCCGGCACCAATGCACCCAAGCGCCTCGAGAAGGCCAAGATTGGTCTCATCCAGTTCTGCATTTCGGCACCCAAAACCGATGTGAGTAGTGGGAAAACTTCCAGCAGTTGAACCATATGATTCGATTTGTGTTCTTTTTTTGTAGATGGATCACAACGTGATTGTTTCCGATTATGCTGCCATGGATCGTGTATTGAAGGAGGAACGTTCCTACATTCTCAACATTGTCAAGCAAATCAAGAAGGCCGGCTGCAATGTCCTGCTGGTCCAAAAGTCCATCCTTCGGTGAGTTAAAACTAACCAAGGCATCTCTCAAGCACCACTCAATCTGGATTTTTCCTTTAGTGATGCTGTTTCGGATCTGGCTCAGCATTTCCTGGACAAGATCAAGTGTATGGTTGTCAAGGATGTGGAGCGTGAGGACATTGAGTTTGTCTGCAAGACCCTGCACTGCCGTCCAATTGCATCGTTGGATCACTTCACCGCCGAGAATCTGGTCAGCGCCGAGCTCGTGGAGGAAGTGGCCAGCGGCACCAACAAATTCGTGAAGATCACCGGCATCCAGAACATGGGACGCACTGTGTCGATCATTTGCCGTGGCTCCAACAAACTGGTGCTGGAGGAGGCAGCCCGTTCCCTGCACGACGCTCTGTGTGTGGTGCGTTGCCTGGTGAAGAAGCCGTTCCAGATTGTGGGCGGAGGCGCACCTGATATCGAGATGTCGCTGCAACTGGCAGCAGTCGCCCAGACGGTGGAGGGTGTGGATGCCTACTGCTTCCGCGCATTTGCCGATGCCCTGGAGGTCATTCCCTCGACACTGGCCGAGAATGCCGGTCTCAATCCCATTGCCACTGTCACAGAGCTGCGCAATCGTCATGCCCAGGGCGAGAAGAATGCCGGCATCAATGTGCGCAAGGGCGCCATCACAGACATCTATGCAGAGAATGTGGTTCAGCCGCTGCTGGTCAGTGTTTCGGCCATCACCTTGGCCACGGAGACAATTCGCTCCATCTTGAAGATCGATGATATTGTAAGTACCTAAATTGTTCGCTATGAAATCATCTCTCATCCGTTACCATCTTCTATTTCAGATCAATACCTTCAGCTAAGAAGTGTGCCTCCGCCACCAGCACCACTTTCAGTCTCTGATCAGGATCAAGCATTTTCCCCTTAAGGCATCATCATTTATTCTCCTCACATCTTCTATCCTCCCATTTAATTTGAATAAAATTCACACTACACTACACTACGCCTTACCACTCTAATATGTATTACAAAAGCGAACTAAAAGAATTAAATATTGCGCTAACACAACACGAAAGACATTTATTACTTCAAGTTTATCTTTTGAAATAAGCTAAATGCCGGTTACTGCCTAAAAGTTTAAATATCTGACGAATGGTTTAATGGAAGTGAAAAGAATAAATACTAAAGAAAATGTATATACATCTATTATATATTTTCTTTGAATTCAACGATAATAGTGAAATTTAATATTAAATATAGACTTGAATTTATTAAGTTCCTTTCACGTTATCTCAATTATTTAAAAGAATCTGCCTGACTTGCACTTCCAGCTTAATTCTGTATAGTAGTTTGAGGGCAACTGTGTCTTAGCAAGGACACACACCAGAGATTGAAGCCCATCCGAGTAAGGCCACAATGGCTTTAAAACTGTTAAGTTTTCTTGGTTGATGTTTGTGTTCCCGAGATTATAAAGATAAATCAATGTATTCAGTGCTCTTTAGGCTTACCACACCTACACTACCACGCACGCCCCATGGCTAAGACAATTAAAAGTCCGTTCCATGCGGAGAAGTGACTGCAGCTGTACCAAAAATCACGTCAGAAAGGTCTACCAAAAGTCTTTCTTTGGAATTTGAACAGCAAAATCATTGGAATTCGCTATTGAACAGTTGAACATTTACACTTATGCACATTTATCTCTCTTTTTGTTTATTCCCCCCTTTACAATTTTTTTTCCTGCATTCTTCCAGTCCTCTATCTCCCAATCTTCCCTTCATCTGTCACCCATTACCGCCTTAGCCTGCTTGAGAAAAATTGGCAAACAATGTCAACAGCTGTGACACAAACAAAATATAACAAGGCCAAAAAAAAGCTTAAAGTTTTCTTTTGTAGTTTCATAATTTGCATAATGCGCCAAGCAAACAATTGACTGGGGGGTAGGGGCTGTGCCGGAAGCTGAATCAAAATTGTTCAAGCGAAAATTAAAAACACCCGAGACATCTTGCAGTAAGCCTTAGCAGTAAGCCAGTGAAGCGTGTGGCAAATATTAACAAAATTGTAAGAACTAATTAATTGAACGAACGTACTATAATATTTTCTCTATTTCATTTACACAGAGTATTGAGAATTTAGTAGAAAAGGCTATAGAACTGCTTCAAGTAGGATTCACCTGCCCTTTGATATTTTCTAAACAAAAACTCCAGCTCCTAGCTCTCCTCCTAGTTCCCCCTACTCTATAACGAATGTGAAACAAACAAAAAATAGTGACCCGTACACTCAGTAACAGTAAGTTAGCCAGAAGTTACGCTCATCAATTAGTCAAGGCACCGCACAGGCATCACTTATTACTAATTCACGCCTACAGCCAGGACACAGGACAACAAGAGTGAGAGCGAGAGACCAAGTCATTTGTCACTGTGAAATTTATTAAAATGATTATCTCGTATCTACATTTCGCACGGAATGCCTAATTTTTTGTATTCCTGAGGACAAACGACACAACACGACACGCTCATTCGACTTTTTCCATGGCCTCTGTCGTTGTGGCTTGTTTTATTATTTTGTGTGGTGCCTTGTGAGGCGTCTATCCCCAGTATCCAGCACCCTTAGAGCCAAACTTGCCATTTTGAGGCCACTGATAAGGCCACAAATGCGTACGGTGTGTGGATTCTTGTGGGTCTTTTGTCGGGGCCATAGTTTAAGCGCACAATTCCCCCCCTTTGGGCAGGGCAATTAGTTCAACTGCGCCCTGGGGAATAGCGATAATTAAAATGCTTTTGCTATTGCTTGTCTCTCTGCCTCTGACTCTGCTGTATGCGGAAATATTTTTTTAACCAACTAATCTGATTGTTCCTATATCAACTCCCTGCCAGCTCTCTCCGCAAGGGAAACAGAACCAACATTTGCATTCAATTTGATGGTAAAAAGCACTTTAATTTATTTACCCCCATTGAAAGTCATTTCATTCTAATCCTATTAATTCAAATTCAAATTCAAACACTTTTACGCCATCAAATAGAATTGCTTTCCGAGGGAATGGCAAAGGATGATGAAGGGATGTGGTGGAGTGTTTGCTTGGCAAAAGGACTTGGTGCTGTGCTTTTTGTTTGCCAAAAATACAACAAAAAAAAAAAAGATTGAATTGCATTGTTTTTCTTCTCCGAAAATATTTTGTCCGTCACAACGTCCTGAAGCGAGTGCTGCGAATCCGAATTGCCTTTTGTGTTCTCCAAAGCGATTTCTTTAGGACAGGCCAACCAGCAGGGCGAGCACCAGCACTGGACCAGGGACATGGAAACAGCCAGTCTGTTGCCCACCTGATGCAATCAAAATGCCAAACCGAAAACTCAATCAGTGCGACAGAATTCTTTTTTTGAATTACTTTTTGAGTGTGTTTGATTTCGATTATTACTAGTTGCTCTTCTCAGTCCAAGTGATGCAAGGAAATTGATTTAAAGCATTGGAAATTCCTTAAGTTAAATTATGGAAATTTGGGAGGGCAAAATAGCACTCTTAGTGGATGTATTAACATTTCTACTTACTTCTGCTTTGCAGTAAAATTATTGTTAAGTCTGCAAATGGAATGAAGGAATAATTTATTTAAAATGTTTTTGCTCCTAATTTGATGCAACAATTTTGCTCTGTTGATGCTCTCTTTTCCCGCTTCTTTCCCGGCAATCCTTAAATGTTATTCTAACCAAAAAATGTATGAACATTTTAATTTAATTTGGTCCCCCACCAGCCCCATGCTTGAACCCTAAAGGCTATCATCCAGGGCGATGCCTCATTTGAATGCAGTTCCTACTTGAGCGAGCCGCGCGCCGTCCACCATAATGAAGATGAATTTTTGTAGATTGTGTATTTTTCCAGTTCGTATAACAATTTTATTTTGCCAGAATCTCTCGCTCTCTCTCTCTCTCTCTCTCTCTCTCTCTCTCTGTTTGGCCAAAGTTACAAGCCAAGTTGATTTTTGGGGTTTCATTATGCTGTAGGCATGTAATGCCAAGCCAAATGGATATTTATCTGCATATACATAGATATTCCTTTATATATACTCATTTTCCTATATGTATATAAGTAGACCTAGCTCTGTGGATCTCCTCCTATTTAAGTTGTTCTTCGGGCAGCCTTTTGAGGCTGTGGAACTCGATTAAATATGCAGCAGACGCTCCTAAAACACGTATCATCCTCAGATGCTGCTACTGTGGCTTCGCACTTTCGTTCCTCTAAATGAGTTTCAGCTGCAAAATTAAAAACTTTATCAGAAGCAGTCAACACACTCGGTGCGAAGGGTAGGGGAGGCTTAGGTGTGTGTGTGTGTGTGTGAAAAAACTTGAAACTTTTTCATGAAGTTAAAGCAAAGTAAAATCAAATTATTGTGGTTGCTCGCAGGCTGGCAAAAGGATTACGCGATGGCGGCTGCCGTGGGAGCATTCCATTCGTATATGGAATGCTCTTACACGATAACTTTTGCACGGATATATTCAAACTATGCACACGTTATTTGCATTGTTTATTCTTACATTCCTTTGCTCATTGATATTTGGAATATTTTTTTCGATTTTTATCCGATTTCCCGCATATTTGAGGTGTATATATGCCCTGCAATAACCACAATGAAAAACGTGTCGTGTACGAACCTGTAGCCCCCCTGTCTGCCTTTTTCCACCTGCTGTATGTGTATGTTGCAGTGGGAGCACAGACAGGCAGGAGCCGAAGCCGGCCGTGGCCAGAGCCAGAGCCACAGCCACAGCCAGACAGTTAGACTCGCCTGGCTGCCTGGCTCACATGGAGTTGGCGCATTCTAATTGAATTTTCACTTTTTTCCTCCCAGCCGCCCAGTCGAAGCCCCGCAGCCGCGATCTCCAGCCCAGGTAGGACTATGTACGTGACGATGGCATGGCACAGAAATTGAAATAATTATTTTTAATCTTAAGTACGACTTCGCGTAATGAGATTTGGATTATCTCTGCACCCCTTTTTTTTGTTTGTCGGCATCCAGAAACATATATCCCTGCAACACTTGGATAAAAGAAGAAGTGCTTACTACCAGACGCATAAAAAATTGCAGGTCTGGAATAAAAGTACAATTTTGGGTTGCCTTAATTTATGGGGAATATGTGAATATGAGGGACTTGCACTCACGTACAACGAGCGATAAGGGTTGGTAGGAATTTAAAAATATAGAACACGAAATGGGGCAAGCCCCTGTGCACTCATTTACCTCGTTTTTTTGGTCAGAGTTATTGAGTGTAGATTATGACTCTAATGACGTAAGATCCCAAAATTCTAAGAAATTAATCAAAATATTAAACACAATAATGCCTAATTTTACCACTAATAATTTACATACATTAATACTCTATAATAGAAAAATTCAGTTCAAATATTTTACTTTTTGTCACCCCTTTGAATGTTGGGGCGATGACCGCGGCTGCGGCAGCGTATGAGACAATTGCTGCAAACATCATTATTCCTTTGGCTCATGGCTGCAGAGCGCCTGTGAGCACTGCGGCTACGAGCTCGGGCATGCATCTGCGAGAGGGTAACAGGTGTGGTGTCCTTACTGTCGCTGTCTTCGCAGCCGCCCTCGATAAAGTTTAGGAGCCTCATGGCGTTGGCCACCCGATTTCGAATCTTCTTTTTGCTCTCTGACTGTAACGCCTCAATATCGTCTGGCAGAAAGTCGTGAGCTAATGGGGATTTCAATTTCTCCTTCTGCATCAAATTTTCATTATTCTTTAAATTTTCCGCTGCCAAATTAGCTGCTGCATCCAGAGCGGATGCCACTCGAGCCTTTTCCAACCCGTTCAGATCACCCAAACTGCGAAGAGATACTGGTTTGGGTTTCTTGAGACGACGGAAGACAATCGAGCTACGGGGCTTGCTTTTGGTGACTTTTCGTTTATTTGGCATTGTTGGGCAATAATTTTGAAAATTTTCTAGACAGACAGAAACATGACTTAAGCCTTCCTTCTACTTTTGATTTATTTTTGGAATCAGGCTTCCGTTTTTAGATTTCCTTGAGTTGGCCTACGTTGATGCATAAATTTGGGACAGGCTGGATGGGT